TGACGGACATCACGTTACAGCACTGGTTGACACTGGCGCCGACTTCTCAATCATGCGACAAGAGCTCGCCGACCGCCTTAGAAAGGTCAAGACACCGTGGACAGGGCCGCACATAAGGAGTGCTGGTTGTCAGCTGATGACTCCCACGGGTAAATGCACCACTAGACTTCGCATCGGGGATTCTAGATTCGTGGCCACTTTCGTCCTGTTGCCAGACTGCTGTAAAGAGTTAATTTTGGGCATGGATTTTCTTCAAGATCATGGCGCTGTTATCAACATCCCTCAACGTATGGTGACGTTTTGCGCACATCCGTATGCCGATAACAGCAGCGAAGAACCACGCGGCCTGTTTGCGAATAGCCGACGATGTGACACTCCCACCGAGATCCTGCTGCCTTGTGTCGGTGTCCAGTGGGTGTCCTTGCTATAAAGATGTGATGGCGGAGCACATATTCGCTCTGTTGTTCACGCAAGGCGTTTCCATCGAGAGGGGCGTCCTGGCGCTTACTGGTGGACAGGCAGAAGTGCTCCTCACGAACTTCAGCAAGGAGTGCCGTCAAATCCAGAAGGGTACCGCAATTGCCTACTACGACGATGTAGACCAAGCCAGAGATTGTTTTGCCTTGCAACCAGATGACGCGGCTGTCCCCGCCTCGACAACTTTGTCGGTGGACATCTGCTCTACGCTACCGCGCCTCTGATAGGAAGTGCCTGCTTTAACTTATACACCAATTCGAAGACTGCTTTTCGCGTACGTCAAAGGTCCAACAAACATCATTGACCAAGCACCGCATTATTACTGAAGACAACACGCTACCGATTCGGCAGAACCCCTACCGTGTGGCTCCGAAAGAGCGCGAGGAGATTCAGAAGCAAGTACACAAGATGCTCGCAGGATGACGTCATACAACCTTCGAAAAGTCCTTGGGCGTCCCCCGTAGTTTTGGTCAAGAAAAAAGATGGCAGCTTGCGCTACTGTATTGATTATCGCAAGTTGAACCAAGTCACAAAGAAAGACGTCTATCCACTGCCCCGCATAGACTATTCACTCGATCGGCTGCGTCATGCGCACTATTTCTCTTCTAATGGACCTCTGAAGCGGCTACTGGCAGATAGAAGTCGACGAGAGAGATTGTGAAAAAACGGCCTTGCCTACACCGCCGAGCTTTTGGAGTCGGTTCTCTGACTCAGCGGTACAGCTCACCGGAGAACAACTGCATGCCATTCGCAGACAAACGGACTGACGGAGCGCCTCAATAGGACCCTCACAGACATGATCAGCATGTACGTTGACACGGAACATAAAAACTGGGATAAGATATTGCCGTACGTGACCTTTGCCTATAATACCGCTCGACAAGAAATCACTGGAATGACGCCGTTCAGGCTGATCAACGGTCGCGAAGTCACGACAGCGTTGGACGCCATGTTGCCGCATGAGTTTGACGACATCCATGTAGACGCCGAAGAGTTCACTCAGCGCGTTGAAGAAGCCAGACAGCTCGCGCAGTGTGCGCATCTGTCATCAACAGCATCAAGGTGCACAACGGTACGACCCCCAACACAAGTTTATAAACTACACACCAGGCGACAAGGTCTGGGTCTGGATTCCGATGCGTCGACGTGGACTGTTGGAAAAACTGCTAAGGTAATTTGGTCCATACAGCGTCACGCAACGCTTGAACGACGTGAATTATGAAGTTGTTCCCAACACTGACTGTAGTTCTAAGCGCCAAAAGCATTTACCCGAAGTCGTACACAACGTGCGTATGAAACCGTATTTATCCAGTTGACGGGACCACTTCATACGCCTGGTAGAGCGCCTAAGTTGCGCATCGGGACGATGCCTCTTTCGGAGGGGGGCAAATGTCACGTGCTCGTCAAAAAGAAAGAAAATGGCAGTTGTGCATGTGCCATGAAGTACAAGGAAATGGATGAAAAAGAAGAACTCTCTTGCACGTTCTATTAAAAGAACCGACCTGCTTCTGGTGTCTCAATCTCTGCGGCAAGACCTCTGTTTTGACGTCGTGACAATATGACAAATAGAGTGTGGCCCACAACGCAACATCACTTGCAACCTATCACACGCCCACCAACACGGAAAAGGAAATCGCACGTTCAACCAGGGAAGTGCCGGCCAAACCTACTCAACTCATAGCAGACAAGCAGAAGCTGCAGTGGCACATCAGTTCCCTCACTTCCGCCAAGCAAAAATCAACGTCACACACAATGTTGCTAATAATTCTGGCAATGGAGGTGAGTATTTGGAGACAAGCTATAAAAGAATTTGCGAAACTCTCAAGCCTGCAGTATGGTATCAATGGTGGCATCATCAGAATGAACGTAACAAATGAATTTCACTGAGATTCATTGACCTCAAAAAATCGCCGATGTTGGCCTTCAAGGGAAAATATGCTACTTGAAGACACTTTTTTTATATTCACCCCAGAGCAATAAAACACCTGAGCAGTTGATAGAATATGTCATGCTGATTTCAAATATATAATTAGTTTTGTTGTAAGTTGCATACTTCTAGGTTTGCAATATGACAAAGTGAAAACCTTAAGTCTTTTTTCATCACTAAACTTATTATTTTTGACCATTGATAGTTCGTAATGTTTTGAATCAAATGTTGAATGCAGAAAACTAATTAAAAAGTGCATACAAAATATGTAATAGATGTGCAAAGTTCTAACGTAGAAAGTCCAAATTTCTCTTACCCTAGTAAAGATTTACATGGAACTTTTTTTATTATATGATAAAAATATTGAAATTTTAACAAGATAACTGCATTTCTCGTACTTTTTAAAAAATCTGGACAAAATTTTATGCAGATCTAAGTACCAAAAGTAAAAGGAGGGGCACAGCTGAAAAAAAAATGGCTAAGTTTTGTTTTGAGAAAAACGAGTCTTATTAAAATTGAATGTTTATTTATGAAAGATGTCAATAAATGCAATGAAATTAGCAAACATAAAAGAACAATCCTTCTTGTATGGGCCCCTGTCACTGAAATGTGCCAGCACCTTAAGTTTGTCCCTCACAGCTCTTCTGAACTGACTCCTCGCAGACATTTTACTCACAGACAGGGCCATGAAATGCTTGCCAAACTTCTTCCACTCTATCTAGCAGGGCCTTGTGCTGGCTGCAAGCTAGGCAGAAGTTCGACAAGACCTCGAAATCTAAACAAAGTCCAGTGTCGAGGGACACAACAGAGCTGATGCCATTGTGGCTTTTGTGGCTGTGTTTGTGCCACATACTGTCATACATAACTGCCCTGCCGTCCCCCCCAACTTCCCTCACTGTGAGCTCCCTAGACCTCGCAAGATTGGCGCATATGGCATCCATTACCACATCACTGACTTTCCGGCTGATGACTGTCATGCATGCTAGAGAACTATGAACGTGGCATGCTAGTACCTCGCACATCGACCGCTGACACACCAAGCACCATGAGCAAGAAGATATCATCATCATAATAATAATTATTATCATCATGGCTGAGGCTTGGATGAGTAAAGACGTGTTTTTTTTTGTGCCTCGGTATCGTCTCCAAGGTGTTCCTAATCAGCCGCCGCCAGAACCCTGCAATACATATTGTCGAAGGTGGAACTTTTCTGAATCGTGCGATTCCTAATATCAATGTTATGTGTTGTCCACCAGATCGCCTTTAGTCTGCCAACACGAATGAACTGCCCATGGCGAGTGTAATACTTCTTATTTGCCTTTATTACCTTTATAGAGTCGGTCATCATGTCATCAGAGTTGCTAATACTAAAGAATCTAGAAATGAAAAGCTGTACTCTATCAGTATACTTAGTACTGTGACACTGAAGCTGATCGCCTGGGTGACTAGCATGCATAAAGGCCCTTTAAAAGGTAATGATATTTTTTTTTTATCGATATAATGGAGCTGTTTTTGCAAGATATATACAAGCGCCCTCGAGAATGGAATGAACGTGCGCTACACACAATGCCCCTTCGCTCCTGCGTGGAAAGGAGCACTGCTTTGTGGCTTTTCATCGAAACTGACCAGTAGACCCTTGCTGCACAATGGTCACCTCGGGTGACCATTGTGCAGCATTGGTCACTTCGGGGGACAATGTGTTTAAAGAGGACATCAAAGTGAAGTAATGAATTGACTCTATCGTCATTGATTTCACCACAATATCATAAATAGTAGAGAATAATATTAAGGTAAAAGTTTCATATTTGAATTTTGCTTTGAAACTTTAGCATGTGACATCACGGATTTGGAAGTGCAGTTTTCGTATTTTATAAGCATTGGCTCAACGAAATGGCCTGAAAGTTTACCTGATATATGTCTGTTGTCCTCTCGGAAGACAATGTACTTCATTTTTACTTATAAGAACTATGTAGGGGGCAGTTGACGCTGCGAAGGTCTATGTGGTCATGGTGTAAGGGGCGGAAATTTCAAGGTGGCGTCGCCACCTGCATCTTTTTTTCCCCATTTTCTCGCTTATCAAAAGTGTTCTCGCAGCAAGTGTCGTGTTCTTGCTATTGCAAAAGGTAAATTTAGTAATATTAGAAAAATATTTTGCTTCTTATACAATCTCCTTATACACACCATAGTTGAGAGTAAAGTTTTTTTTCCAAGATTTCGTTAATGGTAAAATACTGTTAATTAGGGTTGTTAGATGAACCTGGAAAAAATACGAACTGCTGAAGCATAAACGCTCTGGCTTGATGAAACTTCTTATTGCAAGGATGTTTTTGGTACATTTATGTTTTAGTATATACATCCATGTGTTTATCTTTATGTACGATATGTATTACTCGGCATAAGAGCTTTTGTGAATTGCGATATGGTTTCTACATCTATTTATTAAAAGTCATGAACTTTATTCTTTATGTTCATTGTGTTTATTTTTGTGGAAGTTGTGGTAGCAACTGTAAGGTTTTTTAGTGCTGTACTTATAACCGAATGCCCAAACATGCACTGTTATTCCAAAGTGAGGTCTTTCTTTTTCTTTTTTTTTTAGAAAGTCTCAAACTACAACTATGATGAAAAGAAGTTCTTCTATCCTTGCTCTGAAGCACTGATGAGGTACAAAGTTATTGTGGCAACATCCGCATGTGCTGGCAGGTAAGCAAGTTTAACCCCCTGACATGATCTTTGTCTCTTTTTGTGGTACCCTGTAGCTATGTCTCAATGCAAGTATTGTCCAGTGGCATTCGTTTTATCAAGAGCACTGAAGAGCAAGGGAGGGGGGGGGGGAGAAGGGAATCACCAAAATTTACTGAAGTGGTTGCTTAGGCGTGTTGGTACAACACATTCGAAGAAAAGGGAGCAAAAACGCAGTGCTCTATATGCGTCCTTCTTTGTCTGGTTTCTCGTTTTTCACGCTGTTCCCTTCCAAGATGTACTGAAGGAAAACTCGTATAAGAACTTATTAAATGGTGGAAAAGGGTTGCATATAGTTGTCTACGAAAAAATTTGGATGCTTTGGTAGAATGCTGTGCTGTGTTTTTAGTGATATTTTGCACTTATTCATTGGCCGGATGCAGAGCTGAGGTTTTCAATGAAGAGAGCAACTCACGAAAGCCACTCATGTTTAATTTTTGTATGATATTGGAACAAAAATTAAGTGCATAAATTTTAGTGGACTAAATTTTATTACATACTCACCCAAGCAGCTTGCACTGATGCACAGTTTGCACTTAGCTCTAATAAATAAATGTGCAGTCTTTTTTATTGCTCAATAGTGCCATTTTGCTCGAACAATGTGCCTCGTTAAAAGAGCCCTATATAACACTATTTAAAGGGGTCCTGCAACACTTTTTGAGCATGATGAAAAAATGGTGCAGATCGGTAGTACAGGCTCCCGACAACACGCGAGACAAATATTATAGTGCAGCCCGCCGCCTGGAATTCACAAAAAATTATCGAAGTCAGCTTAAAATTGCTCTCTCTTCTCTCAACGAATGATGGAAGATGCTCTAGACTCACTCATAGAAAGCTCATCTATCAGCCATTGGCTGATTTGAACATGGTGCGCTCGGTTGTTACAGAGATCGCCGTGGGAGGCCACAACTTGTCCACGCGTGCGCGCGTGATCACACTAAAAAAGTTGCGCATTCGAGGAAAAAAAAAATGCTCAAAGTCAGAAGGCACGCGTGACGTTTTTCTTTGCCCCTGTCATTCCTCCCTGCTTAGCTTCTAGCACTTTCGTCGGGATGAGAGAAGAGCGAATGTAATTGCCGCATGCGACAAATTTTTGTAACTCCACTCGCACTGGACGGATTCTTAAAAATTTTGCGGCGTTGAATTCGTGAGGCAATAAGCTCTTCCAGTGGATTCGTGCTATGATTACTTGAAAAAGTGTTTCAGGGCCCCTTTAAATGATAAAAATTCAACTAATGGTTATTAGTGTTATCGGAAAGTTCAGCTGAATATCTTGTATTTGCTCATGCAATTGTGGTAATAGTCTCACTGTAATGCGATAGTCTCACTCTAAAGAATGATGGCCAGCTTAAAATTCCTGCCGTTCTTCAGCTCACATTTTAACAGATGTTTGTGACAAACTATAGCTGTCCTCAGGCTTTTGTCAAACATTGCTGACACTCACTTTTTTTTTTTTTTCAAAATTTAATGAACCACAGTTAGATAAACACAGGATAGAGCAGTGCACAAAGAAATAGACACTATAAGGTTTATTGCAGTTTCTATTTTTTCATGAAAAGTGGGAAGCTGAGAGGCATGCTGAAAGGTTAAGCTGAGCACTGCAAAAAGAATTATTGTGCTTTTTTGATGCATAGATGTATGATCACATGCAAAGGCACTTTGATATCACTCCCTGTGTCTGGCAATTCTGTATGCGTACTCTTCTCACAAACGGATAATGTGCGCATTGTATGTGTAGAAATGCAGCAGATGTCTACCTCGGTGGTACAGTGGTTACAATGCTCGACTGCTGACCCAGAAATTGTAGGTTCAATTCTGGTTGTGGCCATTCCATTTCAGTGGAGCCCAAATGCTGGAGGCCTATGTACTGTGCAATATCGGAGCATATTACAGAACACCAGTCAGTCGAAATTTCCAGAGCCCTTCACTATGGCGTACCTCATAATAATTTAATGTTGTTTTGACACATAAAACTCCAGATATTATTATTAATAGAAATGCAGCTGTCGGTTCTTTTTCACTGAGGTTAAGTGATGGATTGCTGATGCACGCGGAACTTAGGGATGAGACAGCCTCTGCCTCGACAATCTCTCTTGTGAGCTTGTCATGTATTTTTTTTATCACAGTACATGCATTGAAGAGCATAGTTACAATGTAAAAAATAGACAGGGTGGATGGCTAGCCATTCACTGTAAGTCCTGTGGCTGTGCACCGCTCTTTAATACATGTACTGTAATCAAGAATATACATGACAAGCTCGTAAGATAAATTGTTGAGTCTTAGGCTATCTCATCCCTGGTTTCCATGTGCGTCAGCACTCCATCGCTTAACCTCAGTAAAAAAGAACTGCCCTTTCTAACAAATTAGTTTTTTGTGCATCATATGTCATGTGGTTTTTCTTGAGTGATATAAGTAGTTGAGAGTGGCAATAGAACATTAGACGGTTATAGTTTACTGTTAGCGTGATATAGATGGTTAAGGGAGTGACGTTACTGTGTAGCAGACGTTTGTTGTGGACAGCATCTTATAGTTTAGCGGGATAGCGTTCACATGGTTTACCTGCCCCAACTGGGATGGTGGCGGCACCTATAGGAGGGTTGAGAAGTAAGAACAATGCAAAGGAAAAGAAAACGAGAATGTCCTTGTGTGTCATCGCGTCAAGCATTGTTACAATTTCATTTAAGTAATAATAAAAGTAAATATGAATCGCGCACCAATAGCGAATTGTTTACATCGATTTTGTAGTTAGGCCTAGGCACGTTCGAAATGGGAAGCTATCTCAAGAACTACGCAAACTTATCTGTAATGTTTGGTTGTCAAAGCTAACTGAAGGCAAGCGAAGCCACTTTAAACAGCCGTTTGCTGCAAACAATATGAATCTTTCAACAACTACACCAAAATCACTTCGAAATGGACGTCCAAGAGAGTCATCATGTATCACGTACACTACGTACACCTACGCTAACACAGGTAACCTTAAATCTTAAAAATAGCGCACATACGGTAAGCGATATAGGTAACCTACATATCTGCGCACATGCACTTTTGATCCCGCTATCACGGTACGCCCGCTATAGCGATTCGCCCGGTATCCCGTAAGCCCGGTATACTATAGCTGTCTATTATGTTGGAAGTTAGCGCCTGTTGTGTGTGTATTCTTCTTGTGGCCCCATTCATTCAGCATCATTTTTCTCGTCATCTATATATGTCTTGATTTCGAAATTTGAATGTCATTTTTCATAATTATTTGGGCTCACTGTGATTAGATAGAAAACCACTGTTTCTGCAACCCTAATTTCAAGTTTCTTAAAATGTCGCGTTCCGAGTGTCTATAGCTGAGTGATAGAGGCTGCAAAAAAAAAAATTGTACCAGCAGAAGTTAATGGCAGTTTGATGGTTGTTGGATCATGTGAGCAAAATCACTGAAACTTGCATGGCCACTTGCAAAAAGTATAAAAGAATTGGGAGCATGAGGATGCATTAATGGGCAAAGCTTCTTGGCTTACAACATGCTTGTGTACTATGAAGTCTTGGTTTGGAAGACCTTTATTAGGCCCGAGGAACCGGCAGCCCACAGCCGAGATGAACGAACCAAGATGATGATGCTACGTGACAACGATGAGGATGCATGAGCAACACATGATAATGATGATAATGTACAGATGAAGAGGATTGGTATGCTAAATGCCCACACTAATTCCCCCAACGTGAAAGCGGCCAGCCTGGCCGCGGCAAGTCAAGGGGACAAAGAACGTCGCATGAAGGGCTTCATATGGGAGACATGGACGACCTCAGTAGTTCGATAACGGCGATCTGCTGGGGCTACAAGTGGCGTCACGCGATAATTCACTGGTGAAGTTTCTTCAAGAACTGTGTACGGCCCGATAAACCGTGGCTGGAATTTGTCGCACAAACCAGGTGTGCGAATAGGCATCAAAAGGAGCACTTCGTCTCCAGGTTGAAAGGATACAGCACGATGCGATTCATCATAAACCAGCTTTCTGTCTTGCTGTCGGGCTTCAATGTCTATATGGGCACGTTGGCGGCTCTCTGTGAGTCGTAAAACGTATTCCTCTGAAGAGGATGGAGATGAATCCGCATGGCAGGTAAAGAAAGACGTCCAGGAAAGAAGTAGGGGAGCGTCCATAAACTAGGTAAAATGGTGAGTAGCCGGTTGTCCGCTGAATAGCCGTATTGTAGGCGAAAGTGACGAATGGTAGAGCTACATCCCAGTTCTTAGTGGTCTGGTTGAAATGTAGGCGGCGATCATGTCAGCAAGAGTGCGGTTGAATCGCTCAGTGAGGCCGTTAGTTTGGGGATGATAACTAGAGGCAGTTTTGTGAGTGTTGCCAGAGGCGCGAAGAAGTTCAGTTCACTAGTTGTGAAAGGAAGGCCCTTTCACGGTCACTGAGCAATACACATGGAGCACCATGACGCAGTATAATGGCTCGGAGGATGAAATCGGGAATTTCAGAAGCTGAATTGGTAGTGACGGATGCCGTCTCGACGTAGCGCGTCAAATGGTCAACGGCTGTTATTATCCATCGGTTTCCAGCAGCACTGACTGGAAGGGGGCCATAAAGATCGATGCCTACAGCTTCGGATGGTGTGGCTGGGCACGGAAGAGGCTGTAGTGTTCCGGCTGGAGCAGACGTGGGTAGTTTTCTACATTGGTAGGTAGTTCAGGACCCAACGTACCGAGCTACACTAGTGGTAATACCTGGCCAATAAAACCGACTTCGAAGGCCATCGTAGGTTTTGTAGTAACCCAGGTGACCAGCCGTTGGATGGTCATGAAGTGCTCTGAGGACTTCGGACCGAAGCGATCGGGGTAGAACGGGAACCCAGCGCTGACCGTCAGGATGGTAAATTTTTCGGTACAGCACCGAGTTGTCCAGCTTAAACTGCGAGAGTTGGCGACAGAGCCTCGCATTAGGTGGACGGGAACTGCCAGTGAGGTAGCCTATAATACGTCGACAGTGTGGGTCAGCCAGCTGTCGAGAAGAAAAATCGTGCGGGTCGTTTGAAGGCAGCTGGTTTATAGAGGCGAGAGAGGAAACCGCGGTAGACGTAGACTCCGAGGGTGTGTTGTGCAAAGTGATTGCGGAAACGCTGAGGGGAGCCGCTGGTAGTGGGCAGCGAGAAAGAGCATCGGCGTCGCTATGCTTTCTGCCACATTTGTATACGATGTCAAAATCATACTCTTGTAGGCGTAGAATCCAGCAGCCGAGGCGTCCCGACAAGTTCTTGAGTGTCGAAAGCCAACATAAAGCGTGGTGGTCGGTCACAATGGTGAAATGGCGGCCGTGAAGATAGGGTCGAAATTTCTGCACTGACCAAACGATGGCGAGGCACTTCTTTTCGGTGATCGTGTTCCCCTCAGCTGCGGAGAGGACGCGGCTGGCGTACGCAACGACTCGCTCTCGCGAAGAGTTGTCGCGCTGGAGGAGCACAGCTCCTAAACCGTGGCCGCTAGCGTCTGTATGGAGGAAGGTCGGTACACCATCGTGAAAATGAGAAAGTACAGGATCGGTCGTGAGGGCACTCTTCAACCTGTAGAAAGCCGATTCACATTCCTGAGACCACTGAAGGGGCGTACCAGAAGCAAGTAGCTTATGGAGTAGTGCGGCTATGGAGGCAAAGTTTTGTATGAATCGCTGAAAGTAAGAGGCGAGACCAAGGAAACTTCGCAAATCTTTCGGCTTGTCAGGGCGAAGGAAGTGAAGCACCGCAGCAGTTTTCTCAGGGTCTGGACGAATTCCGTCCTTGCTCATAACATGACCGAGGACCTTGATAGATCTGCTGGCGAAATGGCACTTGGTGTTAAATTGAAGACCAGCGCCCGCAAGGCAAGTCAGGACCTCGTCCAAGCGTTGCAGATGTTGAGGAAACGTCGATGAAAAGACAACAATGTCATCGATGTAACATAGGCAAGTCTTCCATTTCAGGCCACGCAGCACGGTGTCAATTAAGCGCTCAAAAGTTGCGGGCGCATTGCATAGACCAAACGGCATAACATTGAATTCCTATAGGCTGTCCGGGGTTGCAAATGCAGTTTTTTCTTTGTCATCTTCGTGCATGGGGATTTGCTAATAGCCGGAACGCAAGTCGAGGCTTGAAAAGAATTCAGCCCCTTGTAAGGAATCGAGGGCGTCGTCGATACGTGGCATGGGGTATACGTCCTTCCTAGTGATCTTATTGAGTGCTCGGTAATTGACGCAAAATCGTACGGAACCGTCTTTTTGACGCACCAGAATCACTGGAGACGACCAAGGACTGGTTGAGGGTCGGATTATCTCCCGTTGCAGCATATCGTCTACGTTTTCCTCAATGATTTTTCGTTCGGCTAGGGAGACTCGGTACGGACGACGATGCACAATGGATGTTCCGTCGGTCTGAATACGATTTGCTGTAGCAGTTGTCTGACTCAGGCTGGATGAATGAACGTCAAAAGAGTTTGCATGCTTTTGCAACAAATCAAGCAGCTGCTGCTTCTGCGAGTCTGTCAAGTCCTTGTTGATGGCTGCTGTAAAGGCCGAGGAAGCAGCATGATCTCCAGGATGGCCTTTAGAGGAGGCAGGGGTAAGAGGCACGACGCACACAGGCTCCAGATCGGCAACGCAGGCGACAGTAGTGCCCCGCGGCAGTAAAGTTTTATCTGGTGTGGTGTTCGTAGCAGCGAGGACAGCTGATCCATTGTTGAAGCGAGCCACACCTGATGCGAGAGCTATACCTTTATTAAGGCAACGGGGCGATGGAGTGACCAAAATGTCACCAGAGTCGACGTCGTTGGACAAAACTGTGACTAATTGATGTTCATTTGGGGGTAACTCGATGTGTACAGCAGCGATGAGTCGAAGTGGCCTGTAGGTTTCGTCACTAAGCAAGTAGTCTGTGTCAGTAAGATGGACGACACGCTGTGCACAACAAATAGCCGCGGAAGCAGATGAAAGAAAGTCCCAGCCTAAAATGAGTTCGTGGGAGCACGGGGATAGCACAGCGCATTGTATATGATGAAGAATGTCGTCGATTAGCACACGGGCAGTACAGAGAGCGGAAGGGCGAATCATTGTTCCCTGGGCTGTAACCAGTGTTGGTCCATCATAAGGCGTCGTGACTTTTCGAAGACGGGTACACAAATCAGCACAAATAATAGAAAACCCAGCCCCAGTGTCCACCAAAGCATTAACGTCCACTCCCTCAACTGTGACTGCAATCATATTGTAAGGGCGCGCTGGAGGAATTGGAGTACTGTGTTGGAATGCAGTTTGTCCTCCAAAAACTGCATCGCTTAGTTTTCCGGACGCCGATCAGAAGCGAGGGAAGCAGGCTGAAGAGGAGAAGAGAAGCGACGGTAGGGCGATGGGGAACGGCGTCGGGTTGATCGATGACTACTGCGCAGTTCACCGGATGCTGGCGGAGATGGAGACCGACGCGGCGGTGACGAATAACGGCGACCCTGGTACAAGGCTCCTGCGGTATAGTCTCGTTCGCGTATGTCGTACCCTCGGCGCTCATCTTGCTGGCGCTTATGGCAAACGTGTGAATTGTGACCACGATAGCCGCAATAATAGCACGTAGGGGGAGTCGATCGATAAGGAGGGTAGTAGCATGTGTTAGATGCACCGGGAGAGAGAGCAGTGAGAGGGACAGATGATGGCTCAGGCGGTGATGATTGAAAGCTCGTGGGAAAGCTTCTGGGAGGTGCGGCAGCAACCGACGCGTACGTTCGTGGCAGCCACGTCGAGCTGACGATGCCTGATGGTGCGGCGACGGCATGCGAGAACGATGGGAGAGTACGAGCGACAGTGGGCTGCAGGTGGGCCATGTGGGTCATGGACGTGAGCTCCTCGCTGATGACATCCCACAATGACGTTGAAGAAGACTGAATGGGACACACTGAAGGTAGTGTGAATCCCATTGATTCGAATTTTTCGCGTATAATCACCCTTATTGTGTCTCGTAGGTTTGGATCCGCCGTAATACGGGCCGCGTCACTGTCCGGTTGTAGGCCCATAGACACAAGTTCTTCAAGGCGCTGACAGGTTGTCGCAACGTCAGCAACAGTAGCCGGATTCTGGATTGCAAGGGCATTGAATGCGACGGGTGCAATCCCCTTAAGAAGCTGGCATACCTTGTCTGACTCTGTCATTGGGGTGTCAACCCGGCGGCAAAGTGAAAGGAGATCCTCGATGTAGGATGTATACGACTCCCCGATGTGCTGTTTCCGAGCCGCGAGAGCTTTCTTTGCGAGAGCTGAACGAACAGCCGGTGTGCCAAAGACATGGCAAAGCTGATCTCTTAAGGCTGACCAGTCGGGGATGTTGATGAAGTGGTTGAGGAACCACGTCTTCGCGACACCCATGAGGTAGAATGACACGTGAGCGAGTTTGTAGGTGTTATCCCACCGGTTAGCAGCGCCGACACGTTCGAAATCGTCCAGCAATTCCTCCACATCTTCCCCGCGCATACCAGCGAAGGGATGGGGCTCACGCTGGAGGCTGTTAATAATGTGAAAAGGCGCGGCGCGCGGTGGCGGAGTGGGAACGGCTGCAGCACCTACCTCTTCTTGGTTCGACATATTTCCGGACACCTGGCCCAAGCGGCGACCTGAACGTAGCTCCAGGGGTAGTCTGGTCGAGAGGATGACGGGGGATCTAATAGCACGCTCCACCACGTATGAAGTCTTGGCTTGGAAGACCTTTATTAGGCCCGAGGAACCGGCAGCCGACAGCTGAGATGAACGAACCAAGATGATGATGCTACGTGACAATGATGAGGATGCATGAGCAACACATGATAATGATGATAATGTACAGATGAAGAGGATTGGTACACTAAATGCCCACAGTACTTATAATAAAAAGGTAAGGTGTTGGAAGTACAAGTCCTTAAAGAGCCTCCAACATGGCACGACTATGAATTTCGGTTGTCCACTGAAAACAGTAAGGCTTTCAGGGGGAGCATTCCTCTGATAGAACTTGTCAAATTCCTTCATTAATAGATTAGTTAGAAGAAAAAATTGACTGTTCTCTTACCATGCTGTCAGTAGGGGAGAGCCACCATTAGCAGACACCCTCCTTTGCCTAAGCTGATGTGAACCGATGTACTTTTCCTTTACTCTCCCATGTAGGAGAGGTGAAGGAGCATGTCATAATAGCAAGATGATTCTTTTTGTGTTGCTCATGCTCGAAGTGGCAGCGCTGTGCACTCCACATGGGGTGATAGGCTGAAGTCACATGCCATGGTCAGTGACGTCCTAAGTATTGCATATGGCTTTCACTCTCCACACGAACCATGGTTTTCTAAAAAGAAGGCATACACTGTTTTGAAATTTTGACATTTCTCGTGCCATGCAACAACTTCGTACTTTGCATGCAGGATCACCACGAATCATTTACAACCACACTTGTTTGTTTGCATTGCCCAAGTCTTGGAAGGCCCCCTTTAATGCTGGCAAAGCTGAACCTCATACTTTGCGTGGGTAGTGCACCTGATACAGATTCATTTCTTGCCAGAAGAGAACCTTGGAGCACCATCTTTTAATGTGCACTTTCGCTGTTAGCTTCCTTACAGCATGAGCAGGAAGTCTTACATTCAGTATGCAATTGCAGAAGAGTTCTTTATGTGCTGGTTTTCTGCTGCAGGCTGGTGACAGCTGACTTTGCATTGAACCACTTCACGCACATCTTCGTGGATGAGGCAGGACAGTCTTTGGAGCCTGAATGCCTCATTCCCGTCATGGGGCTCATGTCACCCTGGAACCCCAAAAAGTTTGGTCCAGGTGGCCATTTCATTCTAGCTGGAGATCCCCAACAGCTGGGACCCGTCATTCGGAGCCGGCTGGCAAAACAATTTAACCTTGGTACGAACAGGCATGGACACATTTTATCTTCTGAGCTTGCTGCTGAAGCTTACCACGAATTCATTGGAGGTAATGTAAATTACCTAGAAGAAAACAGCACAGGCAACTCTTAGCAACAGTATTGTGCAACAACAGAACAATGTACAATATGCTGGCTTACTGTGAGTTACACAAGTTTCGCCAGTTTAAAAAAAAAAGTTTTTTTCATCACGAAACCTGCTTTGCCACACAGTATATACTTTGGCTATTTGCCTTTGCAGCAGTGTATGAATGGATGCGTAAGCACTGGTTTACTTTGTGGTCACTTAAGTGGATGCAAAATTACAGTGGTACGATAGACTCTCAGTCTATTGTACCACTTGTGGTCACTTTGTGGTCACTTATGGGGATGCAAAAATACAGTGGTACAATAGACTCGGTAAACGGAACCTGAAGGGACCGGGAAAATACGTTCCAGTTAATAGGAGTTCTGTTTACTGAGAGGTGAACATGGGTGCCGAATACAAGCCCGAAACCGAAAATTGCAGAGGCGATAGTTCCATTTCAGCAGTAGTTCCGTTTAAAAGATTTTCGTTTACTGAGAGTACCGTATTTACTCGCGTAATCCTCGCACTCGCATAATTCTCGCACCCCCCACATCGCCCAGCAAAAATACAATTTCTTTTTTTTCCTCGAGTAATTATCGCACCTTCGAAAACTGCCGCAAAAATGCCGTCTGCTCGTTTCAACCACTGATGATGATAGCGCGTGCCATCTGGCACCATCTCTTAACCGTCAAGCGTACTATTGCACAGAAGTTCAATCCAAGTCAAGCCGAAGTGGCCAGTGGGCGTTGCGGCGTGTTTTGTATGTTGTGTCGGTAATCTTGTCACGTTATGAGGCGATACTGAAGCTACGCGGCTGCTTTCAAGTTGCAAGTTATAGATCATGCACTAAACAATGGTAACAGGGCCGCTGGTAGGCCCTTCGGAGTCTAAGAGTTTTGTGTTCGCTACTGGTGACGGCAGCTGAAAGTCATTAAGACACGTTGGTATGGTGGCTAGAGTTGGGAGGTGACACCAACAGGAACTCGGAGCCGCTCCTCCGTTTCGAGCAGCACGGCGTTTGCGCTGTCGGCGGAATGGTGATGCTAGTTACGCGTGCTGCGCCTTGAGCGCGCGGACCTTTTAAAGATGCACGATTCAGATAAATTGGTGATTCAGATAACTCACTATGACGATGGCTGATAGAATGCCATTTCAAGCATTAAAAGAAATTGGCTGCTGCTGCGAGACTTCTGTGACGTTGAATCTGCGTAACTAAAAGCTTTCGTTCGCATATCCTTGCGGTGTTTTGGAGTGCAAGGCAACGGCTTTCTTAAAAAAAATATTAGCTAAGTTCTGGGGGAGGAAAATAAAACAAATATTTGTTGCACATCATATTATTAGTAATAACTATTGCACATCATAGAATATAGGGTAAAATAATGAAAAAATACGCACATTTACATAGGCTCGGGAGTAGTTAAAAACATTGAAACATTGCACACAGACAGCGCATCGCTTGGCACTAAGTAATGAGAGGCATACAATCACTTTCCACTCGGCAAAAAAACAAAAAAAAAAACAATAGAGCTTAAGGTTACAATATCAAACTCAGAGCACACGTCTAAGCTTCAGCAATTTCATTCTTTCCTGCTTAGCGTTTTGCTTGCTGTTCTGAGCTCTGACATGAAAGTGGAGCCTAGTAAGAACATAGAACTTGATAATTTTGTTTGTGGGGGACAAGCTGTGGTCAGGGCAGCCAACAAGTGTAAGCTTTCTTAGCTGCAAGAAGGAAAGCAAGTCCATGATGCTGTCAGGTTTGACTTCTATCACACTGAAGCAGTGGGTAAAAGTGTTCTCGAGATTGGTCACGAGTTCATTGAGCTTGGCTGATGGGTACAGCAAGCCTCCTCCGTCAACAGCAGCCGTGAGGGATGCTGCAGCTGGAGATAGATCGTTCTTGACTTGTAGGAGCTGCTGGCTGCACTCTGCACATTTAGTGCTTGCAACACTTTTTTTGCCACATATCCAGCCATGTAGAATATCAGTCTGGCATCGCTGCTTTGCACGACCATGTCTGCATGCTCGGTGCCGTGGCCGTATTCATTGAGCACTTGATGTGCTTCAGCAAGGTTTCCTACGTCAAGAAGCTCGTCTAACTTCCTCCAAGGAGTGAGGTCTTTTCCGTTGTCAGCTCCCAGCAGACTTCTCAGTAGTCCAGAGGACATATTGCTTCCTTTCGGGGGTTTTGCCAAATTCTGGAAGCTCAAAGTGTTGATCGAGATTAAGAACTGTGAGGCAATTGGATGATCATTGCATCCAGACATTTGTCGGACGATTCCAAACAGCCTCTCCAGGGGGTCCTGACTCAAGCGGCATGTCATCATATATCTGAAGTTCAACTTCACTGTCAGGTAGCTGAGAAGGTGTAGCGTGCTAGATAAGGTAACACGAAGCCCCCTCGCCTGTACTGCGGCTTAGAAAACCTCCGGAGCCAGCAGCTGTTTCCCAATCGTCCAGGTAAGTCAAGAAGTTTTGAATGCACTTCTCGTGCGTCCCTCCAGGCTTAAGTGAACCTGAGCTGCACCTTGAAGTCATGGCCTCAATGAGCCTTCTCATTCTTTCCACAAAGCTGACTGTCACTGCTGTGCTCCCATGCTTTTCTTCGATGGTTGCATTGTACAAGAAAAGGCCTCTGAGGACTTCGTCACTGTAAAGCCGCACTGCTTAATTTACCCTCATTTTCTCAAAGCCATTGGGATGCACGACCGATTTGCTAATATGAGGCATGGCTTTGAGAGTCGTGTCATGCTGTTCATCAAGCTTCCGGGCACAGTCAATAGCGTCAACACTGGCATGGCCTTCTGACAGTTTCACGCCCGTTCGAACAAAAGTGTTCCTCACAGATTTAAGAAAGTGTGGGAAGTCAGAGATGAAGTGCAGAAAACGTTCTGGGTCTGTAGGGTGCTGCCTTCTACAGACTGTGTTTCCTTTCCTCTCGTGTATGCCGAATGAGTGCCACATGCTTCTGTTCCACGCAGCTCCATCAGTGGTGATAAAGTCTATGTGTAGACCGGCGTTTTCGCACATGACTACTGCTTCGAGGATTATTTTGCCTAACGTCTCAGACTTCACATTGCTGCGTGATGCGAACACCCCAATAAAATGGTGCCACGTGCCTGTAAAAGGCACGAACGATACTACAAGGCCATAGTCACATGCTATGGAGCGTTCACTCTTTGGTGTGAACTTTCCAAGGTCCACAAAACCGTCAATAGTGCCATCGGGTCCCAAGCTCAAGTGTTCAAATAGCTTAATCTCATCAATTAACAGCCCACCATGGCGCTGGAACAAGTCCATAAATTTTGTTTTTTCCGCCACAGCAGCAAACACTTTTTCGCTCAGGCTGAACCCACTCCTGTAACGCTTGAGATATCGACATAGTGATGTTCGAGAAGGCAACACCATGATGTTGTTTTTGCGTATGTGCTCATAGAGGCGTGGGCTTTTCATGGACATAATTAGGCACTCTAGAGCCCATTCACTTTCATACTTCATTTCTTTTGTGAATTTTCTTTTAGACCCTGCAAAGCACGCCTTGACTTGTTGCTGTTGCTTAATGGGTAGGGCCTTCACCGCTTCTTCAAATGCTGCAGAGTCATTCTGTGCATTTTTTTCTTTCATTTGTTTGATGAGTGATTTAGCCTGCAGGTCACTCAGGCGACTCCTTTTTGCTTGCGCTGTTCGCAGCTTAAGCCTGTATGAAAGCTTTTGGGACTGGGCCACATTTTTGCCTTTTCTTCGCCTGTGGGACTCTCGATTCAGGAGCAGTCTTCGGAGGTGCTTGCATTGTGGGCAGTCTTTTTCTGGTGTTGGAGCAACCCTTGGCAAGATGGGCTGAAGGTTCTTTCATCAAAAGTCTTCTCCTTGTACTTTAAATTTACTCCAAATTCACCAGTTTTACCAAACCCTCTGCATGGTATCATGAAGTCGACGTCGCGAAGCAACTCTTTTGCCATTTCGATGTCGGTAATGTCAAGGGTCTTTATTTTTGTGTCTTGCACAAAAGCTGTCGCTTGAAGTTTGTTTTTATTTGGTGTCATTAGCACATACTTGTCAAAAGTCAACTTGTCACCATCTAGTGCGCACACTGCAAACACCGTGGCATTGTCAGCTCCAGCAATTAGATGTCGAGCCCAGTAAGCGCTGGGAAGACCACACTTGTGGACGTCAGGAATTGCAGGCACATTCGGAACAGGTACTTGGTGACTGTCGCTTTCTGTGCTGTACGAGCCAGCTGTCTTCTCGCAAGCAGACGTGCTTGGTTCCTGACGTTGAATTTTCTATGGCAGGCTGCACGTGGATGTTCTTGACGTCTTTTTCTTCGGCACTTTCTTTGAAAGATACGCAGGAACATTTGGAAATATGGTTGGCACCGTGTCAGATTTCAGCACCGGTTTCCTTCGGGGAATCTGAACAGTTTCGTTGTTTATCACATGCGTGTAAAAACGCTCAATAAACTGCTCGTCGAAATGAAGCTCACAGAGCGCCGCCTTTGCGTCCAACGACTTGTAGGCACCGGGTACGGCTCGTCGCCAGGCTTCGAAGAGGGCAGGGTCTTTGGAAACAGAGAAGAGAGAAGCACGCTGACCTTGCTCCCTCGATGACACATAGTCGCTCGTGCAGCCAGGAGCGAAGCAATGGCGTTGCCTCGCTTTCGTAGTGCTGGAGTTCATCCTAAGCTCGGCACTCACACTGTCGTGTCAGCAACTAAATACATTTTGCCAAAAGCGAGACAACAATGCGGGAAACTGCACACGCCCAGACACACTTTCAGAGGTGAACCGGCGAGCCTAGAGGTGAGCCGACGAAAGAACGCGGAGCGCGCGCTTCGCCCGCATCACTACGCCGACAGCAGTGCCGTGGTGGCCGTCGCGGCAGCGCTTGAAAAGGAGGATCACGCGTGCTCGGCGAATATGCGGGCGCTTTCGTCACCTCCCAATTCTAGCCACCATAGCGTTGGGCCTGCCATGTGCCTTAAACTGGGATTGATGGTGAACTTTATTTCTTCAGAAGAAAACTGAGGACGATTCTGTTAAATAGCCATCAGCCCAATACTGACGTCCTACGCTTACATTTTGAGGGCTCCTGTTGAGCGACAAAAGTTATCGCTATGTCCGCAACGTCCACAAGCTTTGCGAATGGTATTCTAATTCTCGACTATTTGCTTCCACTTTTTGTGTCTCAAATAAATTTGTCTTGTGTTGAAGCTCTGCTTTTATTGTTAAGGTAAGTTTTAATTAGTACTTCTTAAAGCTTGCTGTTAGTTGCTGGGGGGAGAATCCCGATTTGCGGCCACTTCGTTTTCTTTTTCGCTCTGTACAATTTCGTGGAAAGTTTTTCCCGCGTAATTTTCGCAGCCCCCAACTTTGCATCGGTTTTCCGGCAAAAAAAGTGTGAGGATTATGCGAGTAATTACGGTATACTGTATAAGCTAACCATAAAATGTCTTTCTTTGCACATGTAAAATTAAATTGTCTTTATTGGCTATCATTTGGCAGATGCTGGTGTATGCAGCTCCAGTTAGGTCTGTTCTGCATGTGTACCACCTTGTGACATCAACATTACAGTAGCAAATACATAATGAAGATGAGGTGTGGGCTGTAGTTACTGATATCTCACCCCACTTAGTTTTGTAAGTCTCAACAGAAGAAATCAGTTTGAATTGCCCAGTGTTTACTCAATACGGTAGTGACTCAAAAAGTTTTTGCTTTTTACAGTCAGCAGCTGGTTAACTTTTTATGTTAGGACCTCATTTATATTTTTTCAAGAAACAGCTGCAACAATGGGAATTGGACAAAGGAGAGAACTAGGACAAGCACTGTCCTTGTTTACTACTTTGTCCATTGTCTGCTGTTGCTATGTTTCTTAAAAATGGATTACCAATTAGCCTATTCTCACTCCTTGCCTAATCAACTCTCCCTGTGATTCTCTCTTTCGAAGGTTGCACATTACTGAGGACTAATGCAAGATTGCTCCCATATTTAGTGTATATTGAAATAATGTTATGTGGTCTAGAATTCACCGGGGCCTTCTTCAACTCCGTTGCCACATACTACACACTTTTTCTATTAAGGCATCTTTGATAGCTTGTGTATGACCGAGTGACATTGATCCGTGTTTATCAGTTAAACCATGCATTACTGCTAGTATTCAAGCTTAGACATCTTTTGCCAAAAGTTTTTCATCTTTTTAGCAATACTTATACTGGTGTGATTACAACCATGATGGCTGCTGCATTATAAAAAATTTGATTTACCACCACAGTGGACTTTCGTTTTTCTGGCTCTGGTCAGTAGACTTAATAGGTTCTATTAAAAATTCACTCTCACAGCTATGCATTTATGTGTGATGTGGTTGTTGCTTTTTAAACTGTCGAAATGTGCCGCACATGTTGTGGAGTGCGATGCTATGGAGCTTGGTGTGCGTGCATAGAATTTTTAAGGTATCTTTTTATTTTTCTACTTTTTTTAGGCGTGGAAAAACGAAGACTGTTTAGCCATAACATGTTGAATTGAACTGTGCAGAATACAACACAAAAGACAAAGAGGCACACACGGACAGCGCTGCCAGTGTGTGTTAGTCATTTTTCACTTTGCATTCCGGGCTGTACAGTTCAATTTATTATGAGTCAAGACCAACTAGCTTGACTGTTTGTTCTGTTACCTCTTCGGCAAAGTCACTGTATAATTTGAAGTCATTTGTGTACTCTTGCTTTTTACTGGTGTGTTGAATATTGCAATCAAGTAATACAATGTTGCAGATGTTTCTCTTCTGGAGCGTCTTATGGACACTGGGCCGTATCAACGCATGCAGAATGGTTACTACAATCCACAGATGCTAACCAAGCTGCTTAAAAACTTCAGAAGCCATGGTGATATCATCCAAGTCCCAAACAAGTTGTTTTATGAGGGGGAACTGCAGGTATACTCTTTACAAGTTTTGAACATTGTAAATCTATGCCACACCGATGGACACCTATGCTGCATGCAAGTTTTCATTTGCTGCCATGAGAGGTAGGCAGGTATGCTGTCACGTACAGTCGAACACGGATATATCAAACTTGAAGGGGATCGTGAATTAGTTTGATATATGAAAAATTTGCTATAAAAAATGCGGGCCCGGAACCTTACCAGTGGCACCTACAATCAGTGCATTCAACAATAACTAATTCCACACACACGACAGAGCAGAATGTTTTATTTGCCTGAAAAAAAAAATCACTTATTTTAGCTTGCTTCTTCTTGAAGTGAATTTGAAAATAGTGGCCTTGTTCTTATCGAAGCTCTCCAGGTACGATAGCCCAGTACCCTCCATTTCGCCCGTTGCAGCGAATGCCCCTGAATCCTTCTGCCACTTCAGCGGAGGAGAATGTGCATGTAGGTAGCTGCCGCCTTGTCCAGACGATCTTTGTCGCCGCTTGACCGACAGCTCCTGAGCATCCTGGGTCCCTGTGACCGCAGCTACAATATCCTCATCAGCGAGGCTCGCAACGGCCTGAACATTTCAGTCTGCTTCCTTGAAATCGTCTGCAGACACTTTGGGTGGAACAACAGACGAGAAAAGGGACAACTCGCGAGACATGGTGTCTATGTACTCTTCGCCGCAGTCTTCATCGGTTTTGCCGTGACGAAGCCTGCCTTTCTGAAGCATTTGGTCACTGTGTCCGTCTTCACATCTCCCAGGTGCCCATCGTCATTTGAATGGTACTGAGCAGGTCGACCTTCAGCTCGGTGCCCATGCGGAGGTTGATCAACAGCCTATCAAAAAGTCTCCTCCTGCAGCCCATCTTCAAAGAGTTGATGATGATCTGGTCGAGTGGTTGCAGTTTCGCTGTCACTTTGGCCGGCAAAAACTTCAGCTCAATATTTTTGAGCTCGCATATGGTGTGGTTGGCCGAGTAGTGGTTCACAAAAAGGCAAGTGCAACTCCTCGACTTGCCCAGCTAGACGTCCCACGCTTTTAGCCATTCTGTGAACAGCTGACGCGTCATCCACTCCTTCTTGTTCGAGGTTTAGTGGACGGGAAGCTGCTTACAGTTCTTAAAATAGCGCGATTCCCTTGCCATCAGAAAGGGTTGGAGCTTTCGAGACCCATCCATGTTGGAAGGAGAATGCTCACGCAGACTTTGCTCATTTGGCCACTGCGACATGTGCTAGCTCGGACGCCAAAAGTCTTGCTTGTCAGTATTTGCCAATACAAACTGGTCTTGTCAGCCTTAAAGATTACCACAGGAGAAGATTACCACGGAAGAAAACTTCATAGATATCTGGCCACTCCTTTGTCATCCACTGCAGGATGTCCTGGCTGCTGACGGCTTTGCTTTCGCCAAAAATGGTTTTGCTGATGATGTTGCTGCATCGCTTAAACTGGTGAAGCCACCTGGCCTTAGCCATCAGCATTGGGCCATCCAGTGAAATGTTTTTCACGCGTACCTCTAGGAATGAAGGGTATAGAGCCTTTGCTACTTTCTCGTGGGTAGGAGCACGCACACGACAGGCTCCCGACATTCATTGCTCTGCCGCATTTGCTTTAGTGTCTGCTTTGTTCTTCAACAAGGTACTCAAAATGCTCCGTGGTATCCCGATGTCATCCGCCACCGCCAAACTTTTTTCACTCACTTGAATGGTTTTCAACTTCATTGCAAAGTCAAAGTTCTTAGGCTTCTTGATGGTGGCCATTGCTACATGAGAAGTAAAAAATTCAAGCACTTTGAAGGGCCTTTGCAGACGATGCACAGTACACATGCGAAAGAAGGCGGTGGTATGTGACAGCCCACGGAAGTAGATTCCGCCAATAAAGTGCTCGTGATCAGTCGGTGATAACTACCTGCGAGGGCAGTACCGATGTACGAAAGGCGCAGGCTGTGGTTGACTGATCAAAACTCACGAAATGGCAACAAAAAGTAAAAGGGGAAAGGAAAAGGCTGTTGGCCCGTACCTCATATTTAAATGGAAGACGCTCCCGAAAGGAGTCGTTTTTTCGAGTGGTGTGATCGTGCGGGCCAACGAGAAAAATGGGTACGCGTTGCAATCGATGTCTTACGTTTTTTTTTTTTTTTCCGCAGTGGAAATCGGGTGCGCGTTACAATCGAGGGCGCGGTAGAATCGAGTAAATACGGTAGCTGCCGCCTTGTCCAGACAATCTTTGTCGCCGCTTGACCGACAGCTCCTGAGCATCCTGGGTCCCTGTGACCGCAGCTACAATATCCTCATCAGCGAGGCTCGCAACGGCCTGAACATTTCAGTCTGCTTCCTTGAAATCGTCTGCAGACACTTTGGGTGGAACAACAGACGAGAAAAGGGACAACTCGCGAAACATGGTGTCTATGTACTCTTCGCCGCAGTCTTCATCGGTTTTGCCGTGACGAAGCCTGCCTTTTCTGAAGCATTTGGTCACTGTGTCCGTCTTCACATCTCCCAGGTGCCCATCGTCATTTGAATGGTACTGAGCAGGTCGACCTTCAGCTCGGTGCCCATGCGGAGGTTGATCAACAGCCTATCAAAAAGTCTCCTCCTGCAGCCCACCTTCAAAGAGTTGATGATGATCTGGTCGAGTGGTTGCAGTTTCGCTGTCACTTTGGCCGGCAAAAACTTCAGCTCAATATTTTTGAGCTCGCATATAGTGTGGTTGGCCGAGTAGTGGTTCACAAAAAGGCAAGTGCAGCTCCTCGACTTGCCCAGCTAAACGTCCCACGCTTTTAGCCATTCTGTGAACAGCTGACGCGTCATCCACTCCTTCTTGTTCGAGGTGTAGTGGACGGGGAGCTGCTTACAGTTCTTAAAATAGCGCGATGCCCTTGCCATGAGAAAGGGTTCGAGCTTTCGAGACCCATCCATGTTGGAAGGAGAATGCTCACGCAGACTTTGCTCATTTGGCCACTGCGACATGTGCTACCTCGGACGCCAAAAGTCTTGCTTGTCAGTATTTGCCAATACAAACTGGTCTTGTCAGCCTTAAAGATTACCACAGGAGAAGATTACCACGGAAGAAAACTTCATAGATATCTGGCCACTCCTTTGTCATCCACTGCAGGATGTCCTGGCTGCTGACGGCTTTGCTTTCGCTAAAAATGGTTTTGCTGATGATGTTGCTGCATCGCTTAAACTGGTGAAGCCACCTGGCCTTAGCCATCAGCATTGGGCCATCCAGTGAAATGTTTTTCACGCATACCTCTAAGAATGAAGGGTATAGAGCCTTTGCTACTTTCTCGTGGATAGGAGCACGCACACGACAGGCTCCCGACATTCATTGCTCTGCCGCATTTGCTTTAGTGTCTGCTTTGTTCTTCAACAAGGTACTCAAAATGCTCCGTGGTATCCCGATGTCATCCGCCACCGCCAAACTTTTTTCACTCACCTGAATGGTTTTCAACTTCATTGCAAAGTCAAAGTTCTTAGGCTTCTTGATGGTGGCCATTGCTACATGAGAAGTAAAAAATTCGAGCACTTTGAAGGGCCTTTGCAGACGGTGCACAGTACACATGCGAAAGAATGCGGTGGTATGTGACAGCCCACGGAAGTAGATTCCGTTAATAAAGTGCTCGTGATCAGTCGGTGATAACTACCTGCGAGGGCAGTACCGATGTACGAAAGGCGCAGGCTGTGGTTGACTGATCAAAACTCACGAAATGGCAACAAAAAGTAAAAGGGGAAAGGAAAAGGCTGTTGGCTCCTTCATTCCTGCTCTCCGAGCCAACGGTAGCGTGAAGAAAGCATGAAAAAAAAGAGAAAGAGTAAATAGAAAAAAAAGAAGAAAAAAAGCTGTTCCACAAGTTCGAGAACGGACCCAATAGGAGTGCAGCCTGAGCCCTCTCACCCTTGCATTTTTCGAGCGTTTCGGGTTTTGGTGGAGGCACGGGTGTCGCAAAAGTCCAGGGGCACAGCGAGTGCCGAAGTGCACCATACAGCTCGCCCGGCTTCGATATATCAGATGGCAGATGAAATTCTGTTCGATGCAAATGTGCAAATTTCTATACTTTTGACACAGGATTTTAAGGGGATAATTCAAGAGTTCGATATAGTCGAAAATTCTATATATGCGAGTTCGATATATATGTGTTTGGTTGTACCTACCTACCTCTCAGTGCTTTTCACTTACTTTATTCTTGGGCTTTATGCCCCTTAGCGCATACTGGATCAATTTCATTGACAGATATTTGACTGGCTCTTGAACATTGCCATTGGAAATCTTCCTCAAGCAATGCAATATTTCATTTGAAACTGAACATTCTGTAAGTCACATATGGCTATTTTTGGCACTGTGAAAATTTTCAGAAATGAAAAAAGGGGAGGTGTTGCTGATGCTGTTGTCATTCGTTCCTAGCACTTTACCAGTAAAAGAATGGGATAATTTGCACATGGGGTGATTTTGGTCCAAAACTAGTCCAGTAATTTTTTTTCCTGCAAACAAGCTCACCAACTCGTACAGTATACTGCGGCAATCACATTTTCTGCATACAGGTAAACTTGCTTATAACGAACCTCCATAACTAATTCCTCTATATAACAAAGTTTTTAAATTCCTTGCCGTTACTTCATAGAAGCACATTTATTTGTGACCTCTATGTAACAATGTAACAGTAGGAGACAAGCTTGATATAACAAATTTTCGCCCTGGACAATCTAGGAATTTTGCCCCGGATTTCGTCATTTTGGCATGAGCATGCATCTTCCGCAGTTGCTCCATTACCGACAAAGCGCGAAACGGCGGCGCTTTCAAGACCTTGGCGACTCCCGGGCGAGAGCGAGCGCTCGTAATTGCATGTGGGCATGTGCAAGGCGGGCAGGTGGGCCTGCGCCCCACGAGCCGGCGTTGCCGCCGTTCTCGCCGCTGCAGGTGCATGCAGGGATGTGTCCTCCCCCTCCAAACCGAAAAAAGAAATCTACTTTTGCCTTAAAGTACGTGTCAAGTTTCTAATTAGT